CATCTTTGGAGGCTCATTTCTTAACCTTGTTCTCCTGGCCAGAACTTTGCTGCCTTTTTTTTTTTAACAGTTTCCCTGGGAGCTCCTGGGGCATGTGGTTATCAGCCATCTTCACTTGCACTGGAGCACAGGCTCTGGTGGGTGCTCCTCCAGATGAGAGTGGTGGAAGGGTACTCAAGCTGGAGAGCCTTGGCTGTCATCATTTGGGCTCTAAACGTTTCCTGCCTGCTCCCCTTGCCACAGTTGGATTGTCTCCTGAAGGCTGCTCCCATCTCCTCTCTTCTAGAAAGCCCTTGTTTCTTGCAGGGACTGCCCTACTCTGGTGTGACTGCCAAGCTCCCAGGTGTATTAGGGAAAGGACGGAAGTGGTGTTCGTGGTGACTGGTGCCCCACACAGCTGTGCTCCAACACCACCTGACATTCTCTAGCTGGCACAGGGCTGGGGCTGGGGGATGATAGGGAAGGCAGGCCATGCTAGAGCCATGCTGGGGAAAGAAAAGGCAGGACCAGATGCCCTTCCCCAGGTCCTCTCCCTCGACCTCACCCATTCCCACCTCCTACCCCTGGGGATCTCCAGGTAGGTTTAAGGACAGGATGCTGAGGCTTGTGCACTGTCTTACCCGTCTTGTTGATTATTCTTAAGTTCTGTTTTATTTCTGCCATTCGACCTGTCTTCCAGAGGAACCACCCCTTCCAGTCACTGGCTCATTATTGTGCTTGGGGCCTTCCTTGATTGTACCACACAGTTAAGGCTCCTGGTATCTTTCATGCAGTGGCAATCCAGACAGATGACCACATGGCAGTTCCTGCTCTTTTGAGCTGGCAGCAAACAAACCAACCCATTATCTTATCCTCCTGGTACAGGGCTAGAAGGACCCTTCTCTCTGCTTCCAGAGAGGGTGGAATCAGGGCCTAATAAGTATAGCTGTTACATATTGTGGTCTGACTTTTCTTAGATATCATTTAAGAATAGGACTCTATCCCAGCATAATCCTATTAATTGAGCCTTGTGAGCAATCATATCTATTCCTATTGAATTACAGAGTTTCTGAATTGAATTTATGTCTCCATTAGTTGAGTTCTTCCTGAAACCATAGTGTGCTAAAATGGAAAATGAAACATTTCATATTCTAAATCAGGGGTCAGCAAATGACCTGTGAGCCCAATCTGGCCTGGTTTTTAAGGAAAGTTTTATTGGAACACACCCACACTCACTCATGTATGTGCTGTCTTGGGTGGCTTTAGTGCTGCACAGAGGTGAGTAGTTGAGACGGCATGGCCCACGAAGCCTAAAATATTTCTGTCTCACCCATTAGGAAAAGTTTTGTCCACCTGTTTTAGCATGTACCCAGCATCGGTTTAAATCAGGTGTCATAAGATACACAGACACAGAAATGACTGTCAAGACGGTGGAAGTGGTTTTTTTTTGCTCACAGTTCCTTGGAAACAGCAGGCCCAGCACAGCATGCAGGGCCACACGGGTTGTCTGGAGGTAGGAGTGAGGGGATTCATGGGCCAAAGCCTTTGTGGTGGTTTTTATGGGAAGGCAGGGCAGGGCAGGGGGAGCAGCCCCGTACCCCAGTTAGTGTGCGTAACTGCAGCCGGCTCAGGAGCAAATGGCCTGTCTCCAGCTGCCTGGTACCTAGCCTGGAGTGGTTAGGGCAAAGAAACGTTGCCTGTTGGACAGTAAGAGCCAGCTGGAGAGAGTGGTAGAGAGTGTAGAATCTGGATTGGCTGCTCCGCATAGGAGAGATGCGCTGCTGGGAAAGCCCTTTGCCATCTCTGACTTCGGCTCGCCTGGGTGGGGCAGCCTCTCCCTGGTCAGGGAGGTCCCAGGTGCCAGAGCGGAAAAAAAAAAAACAGAAAATAAGAAAACGTGGGGGATGGGGGGAGAAAAAAAAAGAAAAAGAACATAAAACGCAGGGCGAGGTGCAGTGGCTCATTCCTGTAATTGCAGCACTTTCGGAGGCCAAGGTGGGAGGATCACTGAGCCCAGGCATTTGAGACCAGAGAGGGCAACATGGCAAGACCCTATCTCTGTAAAAATAAAAATAAAAGGAAAGTAAATGAAAAAAAGAACGTATAGTTAATACATTTCCCCTTTGTCAGTGGCAGGGAAATTCTGTACATTCTCATACCATGTTTGTTTTGTTTTTAATCTTTCTGTGTTTCTCTGGGCTGTAACTTTGATCATGGTGATTCCCGTAAAACATTTTATTTACACAGCCAAAAGTAGAGTGACTGAGTTCATGTTTAAAGAATCTGTGTGTTGTGTGTACATGTGTGACTGTGTGTCTGTGTGTAAGAGATGATATATGTGCATTCATGGAGTGGTCACAGGAAATGTTAGAAATCGGAGCATATATTTCTCATTATATGATCTTCAATGCAATCTATTAATATTTTTAGTTCAAAAATACTTTTTCCCTTCAGACTCCAGGTATTACATGTTTAGAACTGCAGAACGGCATTATGTTGTCCTAGGAATCGCCTTGGGGTTGTCTGTCCAGCTGACTGCAGGTGCACATAGCACCTCAATTCTCTAATGCCTGATGTCCCTCTCCTTCAGGTTCCCCAAAATGGGGCAGTTCCTTCTTTGCCAGATATGAAAAAGGTAGTTGTGGCAAGATGAGCAGCCTGAGCATGGTTTGCATGAGGCAGAAAGACACAAGCCTCTGCTGCTCCTGCACTCAAGGGCTTGAGCTAGTGTGGGAAGCAGTGGGCCATCCCCCACCACTCCAGCCAGGCTCACTGCTCCATCCTTCTTCTAACGGCCCATGTGGTTTAGTTTCTCTTCTTACCTTTCCTCAAAATACAAAGAACTTAATCCTGTTGGTCTTAGACTGAAATTGAAGGTGAATCTAAAGTACCCGTTGTGAAATATAGTCTGTCTCTGTGAGTCTGCATTCATTTTAATGAGAAAATACATGAACGTTCTGGGAATTAGCTTTGGGTTTAAAGCTAACTCGCCACAGGATCAAAAGCCTATGCTGTTCAGTCTGTTTTCACAAAACTCCATGAATGTCATTTCTGTCCGGAAGGGGGCTGCTGCTGTCCCGGGTGCAGGCAGGGGCTGGGTTTTCCCTGTGCCTGTGGTGTGCTGGTCAGTGCAGACCTCAGAGGGGCATTGCAGGAGCACAGGCCTCGCCAGTGGGCAGGCTGAACTGGGGGACAGTGGGAGTCCTTGGGACCTCAGGGAATAGCTTCAGGAATTTGCCACAGGGCTTAGACAGTGCTTATTTAGATTTAATGTAGGCAACACAGGCAGCAGGTGTTTGAATAAAACACCAGAGACCATGCTTTCCTGAGAAAAATGAGAGAGCGACTGCCTTGCTGAAGGACTTCTCCATCACCAGAAACCCTGACTATGAGGAAACGTAACCTATTCCTAACATATATTGAAGCATTCTTGTTTCATGTTCAGTGTTAGTCATTGGAACACAGGGCTTTATAAAAACAAGCCTGCTTTTGCAACAAGAGGGTACATCTACTTTCTAGGTAATCGACTTCCTAACGCGGTGACATATTGTACCTTAGAGAAATCCCACATTGCATTTCTCATTCCCTGGCTGAAAAGCCCGAGAAGAATAAAGCCAGAGGAAACCATCATTTTTGAGAGTGCTGTGGCAAAAGAATATCCAGATGGAAGAGAAACGCATTGACTGACTTAGTACTGTGTGTCCTGGGAGGGCCGTGTGGGAGGCGTCGATCAACGTAACTTTAGTAAAACAATGTGACTTACAACCTGAGCTGCTGTGGACGCCTAGATGATTGTTTCTTTGCATTAAGTGTATAAATGCATCGAGACAAAGAGCGGTCTCCCTTGTACCATTTAGTGGTGGGAGAGGACAGCTCAGTGGAATCGAGGTAGGTACAACTTCAGACCCAAGAGCAAGCCTCGTGCTCTTTGACTGTGCCGATGTGCAGTTGTGCCATGGGCTGACAGCTCCCCACTTACCAAGTAGTTTCATGACTCTTGTGAATGAGTGCCACATACCAGGGAGTGCTGATTAATCCAGCAGCAGGAAGGCCTGCAGGAGAGAAAAGGCTTGTAGGATGGAAGGGCTGATACAGCTTTGGGAGGCCAAGGCGGGGGATCACCTCAGGTCAGGCCAGCCTGAACAATATGGAGAAACCCTGTCTCTATGAAAAATACAAAATTAGCCGGGCATGGTGGTGCATGCCCATAATCTCAGCTACTCGGGAGGCTGAGGCAGGAGAGTCACTTGAACCTGGGAGGCGGAGGTCGCATTGAGCCGAGATCGTGCCACTGCACTCCAGCCTAGGCAAGAAGAGCAAAATTTCGTCTCAAAAAAAAAAAAGAAGGGCTGGTACAGAGAGAATATGGGTGTCCATGTGTGCGTATGTGTACACATGTATGTGTACATGTGTGTATGCCTATAGTTTGTGTATGTATGTATATTGTGTGCCTGTGTATTTGTGTGCACTGTGTATATGTAGTATATAGTATTTGCAAGTACATCTATATGTGTACATGTATATAGTATGTGTACAGTCTGTAGTGTACGTACATGGGCATGTGTGTATATGTGTAGTATATGTGCCTAGTATCTGTGTCTATGTGTATATGTGTCTGCATGCATGTATGTGTATACTATTTAGTATGTGTACATGTATTTATGCAAGTGGGTGTGTAGTGTATATGTGTCTAGTGTGTGCATGCATATGTTCCTGTGTATACTTTTGTATTTATGTGTGTGCATGTATGTGTATGTGTACATTATGTAATGCACACGTACATCTGTATATATGTGTGTGCACATGTGTGTGCCATGTATGTATGTGTGTGTTGTGTGTTCATGTGTGTGCACGTGTGTACTGATGTATGTTGTGTGGTATATGCATGTGTGTGGTATGTGTCCGTGAATGTGTACCTGTGTGTGTATTGTATGTGCACAGTATGTATGTTTATGTACACACCCAGAGCCACATCTACACCCACTCAGCCCTTGTGACTGTCTTTCCTTCTCCCCCTGCAGAAAAGCGACTTTCCCGGGGGATTTCCCACGCCAGCTCAGCCATCGTCTCCCTGGCCCGGTCCCACGTGGCGAGTGAATGCAACAACGAGCAGTTCCCCCTGGAGATGCCAATCTACACATTCCAGTTGCCGGACCTGAGCGTGTACAGTGAGGATTTCAGGAGCTTCATCGAGCGGGACTTGATCGAGCAGGCAACAATGGTGGCTTTGGAGCAGGCTGGTGAGTTGTTCCTGCCGACAGGCCCACACCCTTTAGGCTCGGTGAATGGTGAGCTGGCCCAGTCTATTCTACGAGCAAGAAAAGGGCATGTGGTCTCAGACCCTGCGCAGTTTTCTATTAGGATTCTAGATGCTGCGCCATACCTCCTGTTCTGTGGGCTGCCTGTGTTCTAGCCGGCATGGGCTGAATGGATGGGCCCATAACCAGGAGATGCTGAAATCTCTGAGAGTTTTTCCGTTGCTCCTAAATCCCAGTCCTCCTCTAAGGAGAACTCTGTGCTTCTTTGCCTTGCTTCTCTCTCCCCCAGACAGCTCCTCCGTGGGTGATGAGCAAAAGATAGGCAAGACCATGGGCTTTAGAGAAAATGGGAGACCCACCACTTCCTGTGGTCTTGGACAAGTCAGGTGATCTGTCTGAGCCTCAGTTTCCCCATCTGCAAAGATGAGAAGACTACTGACCTGGCAGCACTTTGGGGTACTAGGTGACGTGTGCCTTCCATAGCTGAGGGTTCCCTGCCTTCCCAGCCTCTCCAGCCTCCAGGTCAAGGAAGCACGAAACCTGACCTCAGTCTCCTTCCTTCTTGGTGTTTCCTCCCTGTTAACATCCCAATGAAGAAAGCATTCGAGAAGTAAGACAAGCTCTCTTCTTTGGAATGTTTAAAGAGAAAATAATGAGTCCAAAACAAATGTCTAAAACAGATGTAGGTTCTTCCTGAGAAAAAGCAATAGTAGTCATTCGCATTATAAACATTGCAAAATCACGCGTCGGAGGTTTCTCAGGCACGCATGTGGAAGTTGTTGTGGCAGTCTCCTCAGGCCACCACACCCCTCCCAGTGGGGGCCCCACCGGCCTGCACGGGCTGACAGTGCACATGGAGCATGTCCTCAGCTAGTGGGATGCCTTGCTCCTGCTGGGGCAGGGAAGCATGGCCTTCCAGTGCTGAGCCAGCCTTCAGCCAGCTCTTTGTGTCTGCTGTGGAGTGGAGCTCCACTTCCAAGGCTTGGCCCATGGAGGCGTCCCCAGATGCGACATCCCAGGAGTTCAGGGCTGCAGTCAGCCATGCACAGTTAGGGAGTGGAACCTCTCTCAGCCCTCGGCCAAGCCCCAACAAAAATTACCAAGCGCTTTCTAGAGTTCCAGAAGAAGACAGAAGAGAAGTACCTGTAGGTTGGTATGATTCTGATATTGGTAGAGGGATCAGTCAGGACCCTGGCAGGAAAGAAAAGGCAGCACGAAACTGTGAGATAAGAGGACCCCATAAAGGTACTGCTTTCCAAAGAATGGGCAGGATTTAAGGACATGGTGAAGGATAGTACTGTTCCTGCAGCTACCCTCAGGCCTGGCGAAAGGCAAGGGATGAGAGTGGCTGGATGGAGATAGCCACTGGCAGGAGGGGTGGCATCTGGGAGAGAGAAGATGCTGGGGAAATAAATACTCTGACCACAGCCTTCCTCCACCCTCCGCGTTCTTACCAGTGCCTCCTAATGGCAGAAGGGCAAATTGCAGGGAGTTTACTGATGGTGTCCTCACAGGTCACCCTCTGCATACAGAGCCGTGTGGACAAGGGTAGACAGTAGATCTGCAGGGCCAATGGGAAACATCCAGGAATTCAATATGCCAGGAACTTTTACCAAACCTGGCTTCTGTGTACAGGCGTACACCTGCTTTCATGCCATTGCTTGTCATTGTTTGCCCAGGGCTGTCCCTGTCTACCACTTTCAAGAGGGAAGGCACAACATGCATTGAGACAAAGGACGAGATGGTGCTTAGTGGGGCTTATTGGTGTTGGGCAGGCTTGCGGCCAGGTCATAGCCGCAGGACTCACGGAAGCCTCACCAGTGGCATGCTGGGCATTAGAAGAGGCTCTGCATTCCCGATAGCTAGATCTCATGTTGTGACTGAGGTGTGTTACCTCAGTCAAAAGCAACCCAATGACTGGCACCCATAGCCCTGCTCTGTCTTACCTCAGCAAGATGCAACAAACATAAAACAATTCAACTAGATTAGCAACGACCTAAACCGCTCACTGTGGGGGCTGGCCGTTTTAAGGTGGCTTCTTTATGACTCATTCAGAGATTTTCAACAGAAAAGGCTCACTGTTCGTAGAGAAGTGGAAATTATTTGTTAAGAAGGAAACGAGTTCCCTGGGTTACTCTCTGTTGGAACTACGGCAGCTAAGACCTTTATGCAGCTCAGCACTGGCTATTGCGAGTAGCTCAGGTGATTGGAGCTGCTACCTGAGTGCTGTGTGTCATGTGGAGCTCAGAGTCTCATGCAAGGGCGAAGGCAGAGCCCACCAATGACCTTCTCCTTGAGCCCTGCCGTGCTTCGCAAAAGCCTTTACTTCTTCTGAATGTCTTTTCTGTTATTTTTTTCATATTTTGCGTATCAATTTGTATCACTTATATTTTACCTTCCAGACTAGCATTTTAAGAGGGGGCTCTTTGACTTCATCCAGTCTTGGGAAATACCTTTTAAAAACCCAAACTTCATGAGTTAAGATGTTAAATTATGAAGAGCTCAGTGTTGATGTTGGGCACCTTAAAGAGAACCAACTGGAAGCAGAATTCAGTGGAGGCAGGAGGCTGAGGCCCCCACCCAGTGGTGGAGAAGGCATGTGGTCGACACTCACAGGAGAGCTTGGGGAAGTAGGTCCCGCTCTTCAGGGAGTGGTCAAAGGTGCTTGTGGTGCAGTTAGTACCTGAAGATCGGGGAGCTGCCTGGGAAGGAGTAGTAGTAGCCAACATGTTTCCCACATCCCTCACACTGAAAAATAATGAAAGTAGCCGGGCACGGTGGATCACACCTGTAACCCTAGCACTTTAGGAGGCCAAGGCAGGGCATCACTTGAGCCCAGAAGTTCAAGACCAGCCTAAGCAACATAGTAAGACCCCATCTCTACAAATACTAAATTTTAAAAAATTATCCAAGCAGGGTGGTGCACACCTGTGGTCCCAGCTACCCAGGAGGCTGAGGTGGGAGAGACGCATCAGTTTGGACAGCCAGGACCACAGTGAGCCATGATCACACCACTGCACTCCAGTCTGGGTGCCAAAGCAAGACCTTGTCTCAAAAAATGGAAAAAATAAAGAAAAATAACAAAGGTACACAAACACCTGTATGTGAAGCAGTCTCTGAACTGGATGACAGCACAAATCTGACCCCCGCCCACCATCTTCTGACTCCTCCAAACCCTTTCCTCTGCTCTCCAGCGAGGTCTTAGACTAGGTCATCTCTCAGTGTCCTGCTATGCTCAGATTCACGTGAAGACTCTCAGCTGGCACTAAAGGGGTCTCCCACAGCCCCCACCCCATCCAAATGAGGAGTGTGGTCCCTGGAAAGCACTGGCAGCTCCTGTACCTTCCACCCCACAGCCTGGTTCTGCTCCCGTGCCCCCCACCCCCGCACTGTCACTATCCATGTTTCTATCATGAAATGGCCATCCAAGAAAGCTGATCAGTATTGCTGGGTACAAAGGGTAAATGCCTCTTTCTAGTAGCTTAGTGCTTAGAATCTTTATGAATGAATTATTTATATGTGATACTCTTTTACTGAATACATGAGAGATTGAAACACTGATGTCAAAAAATTAGTTTAAAAAAATTTATTTGTTTAGGAGACCGTTCTGGCTATACTTGGCAGAAAACACTGTCTCTGTCATAAGAACTTGGGTGGAGGACTTCCTTTTCCCTTGGGACAGAACATGAACCCAGGGCTCATGTGGTTCTGAAAATTGGCAAACAGTGGCCTTTACTCAGTTAACATTGCCCACAGTCCAGCTGTCCATCCCGGAGCCTGATTCCACCCTCCTGGGGAGCTGCTTGGTGTCTGCCCGGCCTCCCGAGCCACATAGGCAGCCCTATCTATTTCTGAGGCCTCCATGTCAAATGGGGTGCCAGTCTGGACTCACATAAAACCAGCAGATCTGGGAGACTGGTGTCCCCCAAGCCTTCAAACCCTGGAGAGCACAACCCACTCCCACCCTGACGGTCTCAGGGCAACAGAAGGGCCGGATCTTCTGGACCTAAAACCAGCTGAACTCCTGAGGGAGGAAGGAAATACCTTTCATTCTTTAATGACTAGCCTGCCGTTGAGAAGGTGAGAAACCACTGCTCTTACCATCAGCTGACCCTGCTGCATTTACAGGAGATGGTTCAGAGATTGGGGTCCCTGGGTTTGGGAAGTATCATCCACCGCTAACCACCATGTGGGCGACATGGTGTGTGGTTCTTCAGTGTGTCTGGGGGCGGAGGGCAGAGGCACCTTGGTGTAACGCAGTGGTCACTGCAAACTCGGGAGATGGAAACACACATGTTGAAAAGCCTCTAGGCACACCTTTAAGTTGTGCTCGGGGAGGATAATTGGATTGGGGGCAATCTGCTGGGGAACCTGCCAGAGAATCATAAGAGCCGGAGGAGGCTTGCAGGCTTCAGAGTCAGCCCGACCCTGGCTCAAGGCCTGATTGGCAGTGGGAGCTTGGCCACGTCACTTGGCCAGCTTGAGCCTCATTTTCTTCCCTCTGAAAGTCAGATGTGTAACAGCAGCCAAACGGAGACAGATTGACCCAATGTCAGCCTGTGTTGCATGCCCACAAAATGCCCCATCCAGGTCAGGGGCTACCTCCACACTCTAGGCAGATGAAACCCCTGCCCTCAGGGAGGTGAGATTCCAGTGGAAGAAAGCCAGTGAGCAAGGTGAGCATGACAATGAAGTGGGGCCTCAATGGCTGCTCTGGGGAGCTTAGGACGGAAGCTGAGGGAGTCCCAGGATGCCGCTGGAGGGCAGGGAGGGAGGTAGCAACAGACACCTGCGGGCCCGGCTTTTCTGGCAGAGGGAGTCTAGCATCAAAGTCTTGGCATATTTAAGGAAGCCAGTGTCACGTGAGCTGGTGGAGCGAGGGCAAGAAGGTTTGGAAAAGAAGGCAGGAAAAGGGTAGTGAGGCCCTAAGGAGCCCTCTTGTGTCCTTTGGGCTTCACTATAGGTAGATACGCAGCCCCTGG